ATCTTATTGTACGCGAGTTACATCTTAATATACACGAGTTACATCTTAATGTATGTGAGTTACACCATGAAATAAACCCATGCTACATCTTTCATTTTTATCATTTGAAAAATAGTGTATGAATATGAAATACAATATACTTAATTTATGTGGATTAATAACATTTTGTATTAAATTGGCAAAGAAAAAAATTAATTCAGTTATAATTGAATTAGTTCAAGATAAAGATAAATAAAAAATCACAAATAATTAGATATAACTCACACATAATTACATGTAACTCGCGCATAAAAGTATGTAACTCGTGTATAACAAGATTTAACTCACACATAACAAGATATAACTCACACATAATTACATGTAACTCTCACATAAAAGTATGTAACTCGTGTATAGCAACATGTAACTCACACATAACAAGATGTAACTCACACATAATAACTTGTAACTGGAGTATAAGATGATGTAACTTCATATATTATCAAATGTAACTCCAAGCTAGAAGCAAAATAAACAAACTCAATATCTTAAAAACCTCTAAAACATATAAAAGTGATAAAAAAATATATTATAGAAAAAGTGTATGCATATAAAAATATATTACAAAAAAATGTATGAATGTAAAAAATTAAAATTACATAGGCAATATTGGTCTCATTTGAAAGATCATGAAAAATAAAAAATTTTGGTATAAATTTTATAAAAATCGGATCAAAAATAAAAAAATTATTAACAATTTTAAGAAAATGAGAAATAAAAAATAACAAAGGGTGCATGGTGCACCAGTACCACGGTATAAACACTAGTAAGTCCAAGTCTTGTTTAATTACTCCGTAATATCTTTGTCCGATTATCTTATGAGCTCACAGGTATTAGGTATGTCACATCTAACTGTAAAATAACTGAAGTTAGTTGTACACACTAAGTCACTAATTATGTGAAGTTATCAATAAAAATTAGGGAAATTTTCTAGAATATGACTTAAATTTAATGAGTTTTCTTATTTATGACCTAACTAGTTTTTGAAGAATTGAATGGCCAAAAATCCAAAAAAAAAAAAAAAGAAATCTCATTTTTTTAAGGTTGAATGACGAAAATACCCTTATTTAAAATATGTGGATTTTGCACTAATTTCGTCCATTTAAAATTACTGCACTTTATATTATCGTTACTGCACGACATTACTGCACATACGATAATAATCATTGCCAGAGGCGGCTTGAGCATTTTGGAGGCCCCAGACGAAAAATATTTACTATGTACAAATCACTTTTAAAATTAGATAAATTGAATAAAAATCGTCTTATGAAAAAAGCATATTCAAAGTCCACGATATAATGTTTGTAATATTCAAAAGGATAAATTTTAAAATGCAAACTTATTCAAAACACAAGGCAAACTTGTACTTGTAAAAGTATTAAGAGACTTCAAGAACGAGACTCAGAGAGAAGAGCTGAAGAGTCTTAATTAGTTGATTCACTAACCAAGGACCCATGTCGACGGTGGGCAGTGAGGCATATATACAGTAGCCGTTTAGCGGTCTGTGTTGGACGTTGATGCGTGTTGAGATCGGCTTTTGATAATTTTTTCCTAACTTTAAGGTGTCATAAGTCTCATATTTAAGCTCAAGTCATATTTACCGGCCGTTGGTTCGAGTTTTGGTATTTTTGGAGTCAAAATCAGGGAATTTGAGCCTGACACCACCGGTGCTTGAGAAGCAATAGGGACGAGTTGAGAAGCATTTTAGAGTTGATTAGGAGCATTGGAGATCAGTGAGGTGTTAAAGACAAAGTTTTGAAGACAAAAGAGTTCTAGAATTGGCTACGGGGTCAAAAGAAGACGAATAGAGCTTGAAAACAACGGTCGGGATGACGTTCTGTCAATCGTTCAAGCATATCTTTTATTAGGAACATCCAAAAAACACGATTGAAGTTTCATATGAAAGCCAACTTCAAGGGCTACAAATCATATGAAGACACCATTGTGATAATCTGAGAGAAGCAAGGTGAAAACAGATGATGAAGTCAGACAATCTCTGTTGAGATTTCAGAATGCGACCTTCCACCATTTTATTCATATATTTTTATTGGATGATTCAAATCCAGTTTTGCAAGTTGTGTTGGATAGAAGACTTCATTAGCTACAACTTTGATGAAGGACGGATAGTCAAAAATGAACTATAAAGCTGATTTCTGCTTGCAGTTGTCGCTTGGTATATTGGCTGTCTGCGAAAAACACCTAATACTAATAACGAAGTAGAATTTTTTGGAGGCCCCCTTGGTAGTTGAGGCCCAAGGCAGTTTCCTGGCCCAACTGCCCTCAAAGCCGCCCCTGATCATTGCACTTCGGCCAAAATTAATTCTCTCCTCATTCTTTTTACGAAATTATTTATGATTTTTATTTTTTATTTTTTAGATTTAATAATTATATTATTTTATGTCTAATTAAGTATAATGTGTTTCATGGCGGCATTACTGCATTATTGGTCATATTCACTGCACAACAAACTTATTTAATGCATTCATTCACTGTCATATACCACATATATATTGTCATATTCAATGCCATAATTATTGTTATGTTCACTGTCGATTTTCAATGCCCACAAACTCTATATTCAACAATATCTATTATTATGTTCACTGCCCATATTTAATATCCACAAATCCTAATTTCAACAAAACCTAATTTCAAAATTAAAAAAAAAAGAATGGAGGAGCTAATGCGTGGTCCATTGGGAACGAGACACGTTTGTACAATGGTATTAGCATTTGGTAAAGTGCAATCTCCCACTTGCTTCAATCTTCATTGCAAGATTCCTTTTCCCTTCTGAAGATGAAGACTAGGGGTGAGCAAATAACCGACAAAACCGATAAAATCAAAAATCGATATCCGAACCGACCGAAAAGGTCAGTTATCGGTCGGTCATTGGTTATTACATATTAAAAGAAGTTGGTTATTCAGTTATTCGGTTAACGGTCGGTTATTTTAATCGGTTATCGGTCGGTTAACTGAAAACCGAAGTATAGTCTAATTCGTATAAATGTTTGTATGTACTTCATGTATGCTATGATGTTTCACTTAATAACATATCATAATTACTCTAAGAAATAATGTCAAATATATGACCAAAATGAATATTATGGATATAAATATGTCTTTTCATACTTTAATGACTATAATTGTAATTTTAATGTGCATGGTTGTGATCAATTTTATACTGTAGTAATCATGAATGGTATACTCATTTTAACTTTAGTCATATTTTAGTTTAGTATGTAGTAATATTTAAGAAAAGCCCTCATATTTTAATAAATTTGATGTATTTAGTATTTAGTGGTTGACCCAAAAGAGATAAAATGACACTCATGCACAAGAAAAACTACCAGTAGTGTAAGAAAACTAATTTTATTATGAGAAAATTTAATTCGTCTCTTCTTACTTATTTCTTGAATGGAGAAAAAGCATTTTATATATGATCAATTATTTTAATCATTTTGTTTTGTAGTGCAAAAACATTTATTTTCATCCATTTTTGTATAAAATATTTTTTCTAATATTTTTATCTAAAGCATTCAAATTTTTGAAAAACATATGTTTTAAAAATTTATATGGTTGGTTATTTGGTTACCGACCAAAACCGAACTACGATGTTTTGGTCGGTTATTGTGATGTTATCGGTCGGTTTTAGTCGGTTATTAGAGTGAAAAACTGAATGCTCCGTCCAAGGTTCTGAAAAAGCCCCATATTCGACGCGCCTGGAGGAAGACGGCCATTGAAGTGGTTCGAACCAGATTAGTCGTTGCAACCGCGCCGGCCTTGGACAACCACGCAGATGACTCGTTGCCGGCCCTGTTGAATCAAGTACTTGCATCGCGGGTCGAATCATTGAAGCAGAGGACGACAGGCCATGGGGCAGCGTGCTCCTGGGCGGCGATCATTGCAAGCGGCCTGATGCATTTGGCCGACGATCGTGCTCCTGGACGGCTGCTGATGGGGGGTCATGGGGCATCGACAGTAGGGAACGTGCGGCGACAGGCGGGTGTATCTCTAGAGGTGGGAGAATGGAGGCTAGGATTTGAGAAAAGGGTAGGAGCTTAGGGTTTTACAGATATAAAGGGTATATTTGTCCACCTATATTATTTATTTATTTAATTATTATGAATTTAATTAAATATTATTATTATTTTGGTAAAAAAACTAGTTAAGTCATAGATTGGGAAAATGAAGAAGTTTTAGTCATAACTAGGGTAATTATCTCTAAAATTATATAGTAATTCTCAATTTAGAGTCCCTTTAGTAACATTAAAATTAGGCGAATAAGCTGAATTTGTTGAGATTGATGAAAAATCGTGTTTAAACTATATTTTATTAATGAAATATAGCAAAAATTATATAAAAACAATTAAAATGATCATCTACCGTCACTTCTATCAATTTAATAATAAATGTAAATTCAGCCATATATTTTTATTATTACACAACTTAATGGGATAATCAAAATTACATACGGGGTTATGGTAAAAAAAATTGACCTATAAGGATATGGAGTTGAAAATGAAGAAACCTAAGCATGTTTAGGTTCCTTCATTTTCAACTCCATATCTTTACCTTATAGGTATTGGAGTTTAAAAAATTGACCTAAAAGGATATGTAGTTGAAAATCAATACAAATATATGAATTTGTAAAAGAAGTCTAAAATCAAATCAAATTAATTAGATTAGATTTAAGTAATTATAAATATACAAAAATCAGATACTTCCTCCGGTTCTTATTTAAGTTCTTAGTTTGACTTCACACATATTAAGAAAATGAATTTGACTTTACTGTGGAGTGCACTGTTTGGCACTGTTTGGACACTGTTTGGCACTGTTTTGCACTGTTTTGTTTCCTATAATGGAAGTGTGAACTTAAATAAGGGACATCCCAAAAAGGAAAGTGAGAACTTTAATAAGAGGAAAGGGTTTTCCAATCCGATGGAAATGAACAGGGACCCACGAAACAGGATATGATCAGAGACGAGGAAAGGGTTTTACGGTGATTGGAGAGAAGATGCAACGACACAGTTCCTGTGGCAATACGGAGTTCGTATGTATGTCGCCCTTTTTGAATTTCAGACGCGCTAACGTTGATATCAGCACGCCTTGTCTCCATGCCGCTATCTTCTTCTCCCCCCTTGCTCCCATCCATTTTCTTCTTCTCGCAATCTCTTCTTTTCCACTCATATTTGTCCTCTTCCTTTCCAGTAGTCCAATTCTTGAGAACCAACTGTTCAAAATATTTGTGTTTCATGATTAATTACACCATTTTGGGTTTCCACTAACTTTTGCTTCTTGTTCTCCACACTGGAATCCCACTGTACTGAAGAATTCCAAGCTGCTTTCTTTTTATTTATTTCTGCGGACCTCATAATTAACTAATCCGAAATCTGCAGGTAAGTCAGAGTTCTTGATTTCAGCAATATGCTTCTTGAAATATTATCCAGTCAAGCATTCAATGAAAGATTACAGCTTTTTGACGGGATTTGTGTAGCTACATACACTACATTAGCGAGTTTGTTTTCGTAGGAGAATGGAAGCTCATTGTGAATATTTACTACGTATAAAATACTCTGTATATGTTTCTTTAAATGTCAGTGGTAAAGTTTAATTATTTTGTCGATCAGAGATTGTCGAGCTGATAATGAAAAAGGCATTAACTTGACCTTACTTTTTCTGATGAATATCTTTTTCTCTCTTTCTTTTACAAACTGCTGTTGTTCTTTGTAGTTGATTTGCTATTAATGCTTATACTAGAAACAGTCTTATTTAGTTTTTCTGTTTACAGAGAGAAATCGGATTTATTAATTGCTTCTAATTTAATTACGGCATTAGTTGCAGGCATGTAATTTTTCAGAACATAGCTAAGAAGCTCCTTAATCTTTATGCCCGTTTCTTCATGTCCATAGGCTTCGATAAAGAAACAGGATACAATTTGGCATTGAAACGATATTGTCATGTGTTTAGAGTCATTCGGTAAGACTTAAATTGACTAAATCGGATGAAACTAAAACAGTTCTCCTCAATCAATTTAGCTAGAAAAGTCACTCCAACTTTACTCATGTTAATTATTTTACAATTCAAAGCACAAAAAATCAGTGTTTATTAACAAAAATTTATAAGCTGAAAAATTAGATTACCAAACGTGCTCTTAGTTGTAAGAATTGGAATTTATTGCTAATTTGAAATGGTAGTTGCAGGAAAAGGACATTATACCAATTAGCACTACTTCATGGAGACATTAACTGCTACTGCAATGCCCTTTCCTAGAGAGCCTGCTAACTATGAAGAGGTATCAATGCAGCAAAGTGTCCTGTTTGCCGACAGCCTTAAGGTATTTTCATGTTGCAGGTTAATGTTTGTAGAAGTTGTATAACAGAACTGACCACTCCATTTGTTATTTTTAATCATATATAGAATACCTAGGGGTTTATATATAACATATGAGTCCATAGAATACAAAAGTGAATATGATAAGAAAAATATACTACCTCCGTCCCACTAACATTGGGACGGAAGAAGGTGGCACGGTTATTAAGAAAAGTGAGTTTATGTGGTTGATATTGAATTCATAAAGTAAGAATGATTAAGAGCCACACAAACTTTACCAAATATGGTATGTGACAATCTCAGTGGGATTTCCCGAAAAGGTAAAATGGGACAATCTTAGCGGGACGGAGGGAGTATTCATTATTTTTCAATAAAAAATAAGAATGTTACTTATAATGTTGAGCAGTTCAGTGTTTGTTTGGTCAGAGTTACTTGACTGGACAGGTAATTTTTTGGTAAATTTGTTTCAGCCAAACAATATGTCAAAGCCTACTTATTTATAGACAGAATAAGCCAATTAGTGCTACCAAACAGGACCTAAAACAGCATATGACTGTGAGAGAGAATTTGATTGTAATAACTAAAAGAAAAAAGTTTCTATTTCAGGACTTGAAGGATCTCAGAAAACAACTGTACTCTGCAGCTGAGTACTTTGAGTTAACCTACTTCAATGATAATGAAAAAGAGACGTGAGTGAAGTCTTTAGTTTTATTTTACTTGCAAACAAAAAAAACAAAATCCTCTACTCTTGTACATTGTTTAGGCTCTGGAGCTTTTCTTCATTCACAAAGTTTTTGTTTTTGATTCATACAGAGTTGTAAATACATTGAAAGATTATGCTATAAAAGCGCTTTTGAACACGGTGGATCATTTGGGCTCTATGACAAATAAGGTTAATGATCTTTTAGTTGAAAAAGTAGATAAAGTTTCCGAAACCGAACTTCGTATGTCTTGCATTGAACAGGTAATAATAGTTGTGTACTTCTATACAATTTGATGATAAAGAAAAATATAAAAATAGGAAAGTTCTTGAACAAAGTTATGTTATTTATGTTCAGAGATTAAGGTCATGCCAGGAGCATATAGATCACGAGGGTCTTTCACAACAACAGTTACAGATAAACACTCCCAAGCACCATAGAAGGTACATCTTCCCAGGTAATTGAATACTACCATAATAAGACTTGAAGCATCCCAAAATAGTCAGTTTGCTCCTCATTGAGGCTCAACCATGTCAATTTGTCCGTCGGAGCTTAATACTACATTAAGACTTGAGATCATATTCTAAAAGGTCAAACTGCCTTATATGTTAATTTCTGTTTCTATATTTGCTCATCTGACAACATTGATTTTCTTAGTTGGTGAAGCTCTGCGTGGTCTTGATGCTGAAGATGACTGGTCTCATTTTCGAAATGGTAACAAGCCGGAGTTTTTCTTTCGACACACACAAAGTGAACACCATTTTAACATTAAAAAGGATTATGAACTTATAATTTTCTGCAGCTGTTCGAGCAACAATTTCAGAAAACCCCCCTTCAGTTGGAAATGGAAGCTCTTCAACTCCTACTCCAAGACTTACTCAAGACTCTCGCGATCTCTCATTGTCCAAGACCGAGTCCAAACGAGATTTAGGTATTTTCCCCATCTCATGCATTGCCATTACCTTCACTCCCGTTTTCTTATCTTACGTTCCTATTTAGACCATTTTTATGACATTCTTTAGACGCTAGCCAGACCCACAGATAGTAGGGTTCCTAATCCATTGCCTAGCGCCTAGCGGCCCATAGAGACCATTGTTAACACGATATTAGGAACCATTGTTCAAAAGTTCATTTGGTAAAATAGAAGTGATATGATGTGTAGCATGAAAGACACTCTTATGAAACTTTTTAAAACTCATCTGTCCAACAATGCTTTCAAACCACATTTACCTATACTTTTAATTGAGTCATTTATATTTATTTGAAGAACATTTTAGCAGCACCTCCAGACACAAAATGGCTACATTCAAAGCATTTTATTATCTTAAATTACCAATTAGGCCTTTTCCCATACCGCCTTTCATTCATATATCAACATTTTTATATGGTAATAGTAATATCAAACTGACTCTTTGTTTTGTGTGTTTTTGAAGGATCGGAGAAGCGGACAGTGTCGCCACACCGATTTCCACTTTTGCGAACAGCATCCCTTGCCAGAAGGTCCATCACACCTAAAAGATCTCAGTCAACAACCCCAAAAGGCTCCCAGCCAACCACCCCAAACTCAAGCCAACCAACCACTCCAAACCCAAGACGGCTGGTAAGTCTTGATCTTCCCTTTGTTTATATGTTGCTTCTGCTATTGCCGTGCATCTGTCAAGAAAACAGGCATTCCTTTGGCTCTGTGTGGTAGCCATAATAAACTAACTCAGCAGAATAAAGATGCCCTAGGAATTGCTGTAAAAGTGGAGTTGTGTGGTTGTTATTAATTTGGTAAATGTGAATGAAGTAAAATTGAATTGCAACCATCTAAATATTACCAAATATGGTATGATACAAACTTAGTAGGACGGATCAAAAAGGTAAAGCGAGACAGAGGGGACGGAAGGAGAAATTGATTATTTCAAGTATCGATTACTTTCAAGTTTCAAAGCTAAGCCAGTTTCTGATCGGCTCGAGTTTGTTGAAAAGTTGTTTGGGAAAAATATTTTTTAGTCGCAGCAGTAATTCGACCAGTTGACTTTTACATGGTAAAATAGGTATGGAATCTGCTAAAAGTTGAGGTAAAATCCGTCAATATACATTTAAACATTTGGATTTTGATAGCCTTATCATGGTTTGGTGAAACAGTATCCTTCAGAGCCTCTGAAATCAGCTTCAATGCGGCTCCATACAGACAGGGAAACACATCGAGATCCTCAAGATCAGCAACCCACCGGTAAAAGCAAGCGTCTTCTTAAAGCTTTGCTCAGCAGGCGCAAGTCAAAGAAAGATGAAACACTATATACCTACATAGATGAGTATTAATGTTCATAGTTCCACACCCTAGTTTTGCACGATTTTCGCATCATTACAGTGTATTCGTTATATTTCCTGGAGTACTTTATTCCCCCAATTGCACAAAAGCAATGTCACTTGTTCTTGATAAGTTGATACAACTCTTATATGATACTACATATGAGATACTACTTTTGTCCAAATTTAATGGTAACATTTGTTTGGGTTTGTTGATTATGAAAGTGATACAAAGTATCATTTACTTCTATTGTAGAATGATACGCGGTCATTGCCAAAAAAGGAGTATACTCAGTCATACTTGTAGATTATGAAAGTCACATGTATGATCGTTTGCCAAAAAAGGACACATAACTTATATTTTAGGATAATCCAAAAAGGAAATATGTAATTATTACTTTGGGATGGATGAAATACATTTAAAGTGCCATATATACATGAAATTTGCAAATATGTGAACTAGGTCATGCCAAGACTGGACCCAAAAAATATATTTATTGAAGGCATAACCGCATGTCCGCATAAATCGAGTGATAGAGACAAGTTTTTTAATTAAGGTGACCGAAGATTAGAGTATACCTCATCTGTTATTTTTAATTTGCAACACTCCATTTCCCACATTTGACAATACACAACTTTGACCATTAATATATTTAATTTTTTATTATTAGGAAATAGATTTCAAAAGTTCACAATAAAATGAATTCAATAATATACTTGAAAAGTAAAATTCCAATACATTAATACATACTCCGTAAAATGTAGTTAAAGTAAAGTACAATTATTTAATGTACAAATTCAACATGTTACAATTATTTAAAGATGAAAGTAGTATATATAGAGTGCTAAAGAGTCAATTATTTATATTTGGACGTAATACTAATAGATAGAATACAAGCATATTGTGCTCAGATATAATATACGTAGTAATTGAAACTCAACTATGTGATTATAAATATGTTATATAACTAGTACACGTATTAATTACTACTATATTACTTGGGCAATGGATACACTCATGACTCCATATTGTAAATGTATGATGAAATTAGTTATGCACATAAGAGCTTTATTTACAATTTAGACATATTTTCATGTTAAAAATTGATAATCAATTCACAGAACCTCTAATTTCACTTATAATGTTATACAAACTTTGTCAATTTTTGAGGCATTAATAAACATAGCCACTTAGTTTCCTGTGCCTATGGTTAAAAAAATAAAAAAGGTAAAATATTTTTTATGCAAAATGTACATTCTTTCATTCTCAAATCTGTATCTTGCAAAGCCAAATGGATAGACCTAGTATATACAAAAAAATTAAAGAACCCCATAGGACTCCCTTGTGAAATCATATTAAGTATTGTAGCACTATATTCATCACTCATATTTTTAGTAGAGGTCCACAAAAAATATGAATGATGATGATTGTGCCACAAAACCCCATATGACTCCATAAGAGTGGCATATGGAGTTCCATAAATCTACTTCCTATATGTCAGTATACATCTTTTCGCTATGTTGTTCAAGTGCTAGAAACATGGGGAAATGTAAAATAGAAAGGGGGAGTAAATGTTTGGAAAGCATTACTAAAGTTTCTAAAACAGATCAATGTAAAATCATAGAAACACAAATGGAATGAAAAGGAAAATGAAGATGCATATATACAGTTACTAAATAAAATTGGGCTGGAGAGAAAAGAAGCCATTGTGTAAAATAAAAGCACACGCCCGGACAGTGTCACCAGTCACCACACCAGTTTCCTCTTTCGCAACACCAAAAATTTTGGTAAATGCTAGCTACTATGTATAACCGTATATATAAAAATTGCACATGGAATTTTGGTATATCAAAGTTTCAAATTTGTTGTGCTTGAATTTCACTATACGCTAATTTTGGTATGATTCGTGTTGGTCCAAAATAGGACACTCAAGCAGGAAATCAGGAAAATAATGCAAATAAGGAAAGTGCAAAGGGAATTTGGTAGCCAGAAATAGCATATCTTTATTTGAAATTCGAATTGCCTTTTATAGGTGATTACAAATGGTAACTGCCGAACATAATAATGACTAAATTAATTACAACATTAATACGAAATTAAATACATAATTAATAGTGTATTGATTGTTGGCCGTTACTCTTCCTGGCTGGCTAGCAGGCAGAACGCTTGAGCTCCTCGGGCAGCAGGCCGCCGCTGGGCCGGAGGACAGGCTTCCCACTGGGCTGGAGGACAGGCTCCTCGCTAGGCCGAAAGGCAAGCTTCCGGTTGGGTTGGTAGGCATGCTCTTCGCTGGGCTGGAAGGCAGACTTCCGGTTGGGCCGATAGGCAGGCTCCCCACTGGGCTGGAAGGCAGGCTTCCCGCTGGGCTGGAGGACAGGCTCCCCGCTGGGCTGGAGGACAGACTCCTAGCTAGGCTAGAAGGAAGGCTCCCCGCTGGGCTGGACGACAGGCTCCTTGCTAGGCTGTAGGCAGGTTGCTGGCCGGGCTGCAAGGCAGGCTCCTAGCTGGGCTGGAGGGAGGCTGCTGGTCGGGCTGGAAGGCAGGCCGTTTTGGGCTTCCGCTCCTTGATGGGCCTGATCGGTTGGGCCAACTCGAGCTCTAGATCGCCGGGCTTGGGTCTGCTGGTTCAAGTTCGGGGCCTAGACCGATTAGGCTCTGGGTCTAGTCCTATAACCCCATCAATTCGGTATATACTTTGTGCCATACCGAGATTCCGATATATGCCAAAATTCGGCATATAAACTTTTCATACGGTAATAGTACTATATTTTCCTTACCAAAAGAATCGTCATACATCGTGCTAAACCATTCCGATTTAAGTTCCATGATGCCTTAATATTATGCCAATAGTCTCAAATTCAGGTTGGGCAACCACTCCATGTCTTAGAGGGCTGGTAAAATGGATCATCTATCACTTTCTACGTATATTAAATCTACTATCCTCTCTTTACTTGTTGAGTAATAATAATAAAAATCAGGCTGCATTTGGTAGCCCTAATTGCCTAATCATTATATCTTGCATGGCTACATATTAGCGGGGTCATTTGCATTTATATTAACTTGCTTGTTTGGCCAAAGGCTTTTCGTTTCATAAAATCCAATACATTCACCCATTTCCACCAAAACAACCCTTAAACGTGACTAAAATCTCTTAATATTTGTTTAATCACTTAGTGTTTGAGTGTTTCATAGGCCAATGTAATTCGATCATGATGGTGAAACAGTACCCTGCCAGATCGAAAAAAGCAAATTCCTTCTTGAAGCTTTGGTCAGTATTCAGTAAGCTCAATTCAAAGAAGGATGAAACGCCATATACCTACATCAGTGAGTATTTATGCCACACTAAAAAAACGGGCATAGAAGATGGATTGAAACCCGCTAATAGCTAGAAATTCATCTTAGGGTCAAAGATTCAAAATTCGACAATATAGAGGGTATCAAAAGGATTGTTTTAACTTTTAACACAATAGTTGAGATTAATAATACACATTTGAGATCAATATAGAGTGAAAAATGATCATTTAGTTATCAATTTTCATAGAGTGATTTTAGACTTTTTTTTAGTACTCTCCGACTCTTTATAAAGTTGATCAAACAAAACCACCAAACTAGGGGTGGACTCGGGTCCGGGTCGGGCCTAGGCCCGGGCAGGCCGGCGGTTCAGGAATGGTGGACCCGGGACCGGCCCGGGTAGCCACCGGGTCCGGTCCGGGTCCGGACCAAACTGGACCGGGCCTCCGGTTTGGATTTTTTTTTGCTTTCCTAACCCTCCCTCACCCCCCACCCTCCCAAACCCCCCCAAACCCATCCTACCCATCAAGCCCAATCCGGGTGGAACCCCAAAAATGAAAAAAAAATCAATTTGGCCCGGGCCCGGGCCTGATCCGGTCGGTTCACCACATTTGAGACCCGAGCCCGGACCCGCCCTACCCCCCGGGCCTAGGCCCGACCCGGACCCGAGAACCGGGCCAGTCCCGCACAGTAGCGGGCCGGTCCTGGTCCCGCATAGTAGCGGGCCGGCCCGGTCCACGGGCCGGGTGGCCCGACGCGAGTCCAACCATACACCAAACTAAAAGAGAAACCAACTAGAATAGTGTCATTTTTCAATGAGATACTTTAGCCGGGACGGGCATAGTTGTGTATCAGTGTATCTATATTTTGTTCTTTTAGCAAACTATATTATAAACCCGGCTGACATCGACACTTGTGAAAAAGTTTTGAATGTTTTGGTGTATTTTAATAATGCAACTCTAACTTTTAGTCATGTTTATAAGTCTACCGCAAATTAATTTTTTGTTGAATCCGTTAATCTCGCCGGCGCTTTTTGTGAATTTGCTGATGCCGCTTACGTTAGTTATTTTTGTGACTTCATGAAACAAAAGTTTTTAAAATATTATTCCTATATTCCGCATATATATAGTATCGCATTTATTTTTTATCCTCGTTTTAGACTTGCTGCTTTGGAGCAAAGTTTAGATTACTATTATGTTTCTTTTTTTGGGCCATTGCCTATGTACAACGACACGGCTATAGACCCGAAACAACAATTTCAAGAGGTTAGTAATTTATTATATCAATTATTTAATGAGTTTCATGCACAATATGGTAACACACCCCCTCCCCCACCTAGGGTTGGATTCAGTTCGGGCCACCCGGCCCGGCCCGGTACTGTGCGAGCCCGGGACCGGCCCCGTCAGGCGGTCCGGGACCGGGTATGGACCCAAACCGGTGGGAAGGGGCAGGGCGGGCTCGGTGCTGGATTATTGTGACCCGGCCCGGGTCCGGGTCTAATTTTAAAAAAAAATTGGTTTGGGCTACTAGCCGTTGGGGGTGGGGCTGGGGACAACCCAAACGGCTATATAGTCGTTGGGTGGGGTAAAGGGGGGGTCCGGGGAGGGGTTGGCTGGTGGGGGGGGTGGTGGGGGGTGGGGGGTAATAAAACCTATAAATACTCCTAATCTTAAACATTTTTTCATATCTCTTCTCCAATTCTTCCTAAATCCTATTCTTAACTCTCTACTCTCTAATTCTCTTATTCTCCAATATATTATATTTATTGTTTATATATCTACTTTATAGTTTATACTTAAGAAGTTAAGATGGAAAATCAAGATGCCATTATACGGTATAATTTTGATAAGCAGAAGGATCCGAAGACCGGGATGTGGTACGCAATTTGCAAATGGTGCGAGAAAAAATGTAGCATGGGGGTTTCTGGCGGATTCGAAATGGCAATCAAGCATATGAAGTC